GGAATAACTACAAAAGTTTCCATGCCAGAGGTAAATATTAGGAACCCTATAGAAAATGATACAATTTAATGAAAAGACGAGTTAATTTCCGATGATTAGGGACTTACCGTCTCCCCATGAAGCCATTGTAAGTGGAGATGAAATCATCTTCCTCGAAAGTGCTTCAATATCCTTCAGAGTGACTTGCTCGATTGCTTCTAGGAAATATTTAATCGGTTTCCTAAGGTGTCAATTAAAGGAGGAAAAACTTAACGAATCAGTAAACTAAATTAAAGTGTGCACAAGAGTCTATAGTTTTATTACTATTCACACAATGTTTATTGCTCATGTTTCAGTGACATGCCTTGCAACTAGAAGCATGCAAATCACACACACACACACACATATATATGTGTGTGTGTGTGTGTGTGTACTATACATATACATATATGTATATGTATATATGTATATATATGTGTGTGTGTGTGTGTGATATATATATATATATATAATAAATTTCATTATATTTATGGAATCAAAATGCCATCTTAGATGATCAACCTAGCAGTTACATATAGTCATGATATGAGATCAGGTGCGTCGATGGAACTTTTCACAAGTAATCAGAACTAGAACAATTAGCAAAAGATGGGAAACATCTTCACAATTTATGAATGAGAGCTTGCAGATCCAAATCATGGTAAGATTTGCATTTGGCAAACAAGTTAAAAGTCATAATCACATAAACATCCCCAATGCTGCTGATTGATTGTGTCACACTAAAGCCTCCAGTCACCCAACCACCTATAGAAGCATAACATATAGTTACCATGTTACATCAAGCAAACCAGCTCCAGAGAAATTATTTGGTGCATTTATGCGTCTCTAATCAAAATAGCCAAATACCATGGTCAGAGTACCCCGTGAAAACCACAAAAGAAGTCTTTGTTTTGTTAGTAGAAGAGTTGCAACTAGTGAATGGAGGAGTTGATACTGCCTGCCAGATGATACTAACTTGCGAATAGGACGCCATTATTTAACCTAGTCATACTGCCACAGTAACTCATTACTGAATACTGAAACTAGCTTTCTTTTACTATACATAATGGGGTATGTCAAGGGCCTATTCTGTAAAGCAATATTACCCAACCAAATCTTCCCAAAATCTGAAATGGGGCGCTCCAATATTTACAAATGTTTACAGAAAAATGCATGTGAGTATACATTAAAAAAATGATCCGCTCACAATTTGACAGAAACAGATTAGGCATCACTTATTAACATAGAAAAGAATTATTGTTGGGTTAGCATTTGTCTTGAGATGTCAAAAATGCTCAACAAAGCATTCGAACTACCAGGTGTGGGCATAATAAAAATTAAACTTACCTATAATGCCAAGTGGGAAAGGCCCCTCTAAGGCAGATTCCAACATACCATTTAGCATGAGATTGATCAAAATGTCCTCTTACCACATAATTTTACAATAATAAATTTTAAACAATACAGTTCTATTGGATTGCTTGGACACACATGGAAGACTATATGTAAGAGTCGGGAAGGCAAAAAGGTCAGGCCGGGTCATTATTGACGTGGCCCTTATAAGCTTGACTAGAACCCGATACATTTAATAAACGGGATAGATGACCTGACCGATTTATAAACAGGTTATTCAACCTGACCCGAATAAGTAATAAAATGTTAATTTGTAGGCTTCTCAGAACATGCTCGATGATTTATGCTTGATATGTACCAGATGAAAAGTAAAGCATCAAAATAGTAGGAACAACATTTAGTTGCTCAAGAAAGCAAGTGAAATGTTCAACTAAAGTTGAATATGATATTATGATGCATATGGCAGCAAGACTTTAATCCAGGATAATAACTAAGTTTATATTTAGTAATTTATATTGAGGTTCAGCTCACAGTTCTTTTTCTCCATTTAGATTTCATAATGGCCACCTGCTCTATATTACTATATAGGAATAGTAATATATAGGGCTTGTCAACCTAACTACCTTCTACAAGAAGTAAACAATAACTGCATGTAAATTGTAATAAAATTTTGTGCTTGCGAATAGAAACATATATTATTGCCTGTTTGCAAAATACCCCCCGTAGCTGCGAAAGACCCCCGTTGCTGCAAATAGATCCCTGATTGACCCTCAGAAGGTCTATTCTTTCATTGAGGGTAAAAGAACCAAAAAATATAAATCGGGGCCTACTGCAACAAAAAAAGCTACAAGAGATCTATTTGCAATTAACCCAATAATTTTTTTCTAAAGAGAAAAACTAATGTTTTATAGAAGCCATTTTATACACCTCTTTCATGACATCTGTAACATGATTCCTAAAAAATGAGAAAACTTGATAAAAGTGCAAACCCCTCTCTCTAGCTTCCTGATTTCTAAAGAAGTATCAAAAATCCTACTAACATCAAAAGCCCACTAATCAGCGACGCAGTGATCAACCCTCGTGCTACCGAAGGATCTCTCTCGTGTAGCCCAAGAGAAACGAAGAAGAAATGGGGGATGGAACTAATCGCCGCTAGGGTTATGCATGTTACTCGTTTATGTGATTGAATGGGTCATTAAATGGGTCACAGTGGTCATTTAGGGTTGACCCAAATTTACCCAATTAATAAATAGGCAGTTCGAGTCAACCCCTATATGACACGAACCCATATACTTCAAACCATATTCATTTATAATGGGTCGCGTCGGGTAAAAAATTGTCACCCCTATGTAAGATTAACATTTTTATCTGCTAGAAGAGAGGTGCCTGGACAAAAATAGGTAAACCCATAAGAGTGCAAATGTAATAGAAAGCCATGGCTAAACAAAAAAGCGAAGGGTGTGTTTGGGAAACCCTTAAAACTGGGCCAGGTCAGTCCTTGCCTAGTTTTGGGTTTTTTCTGATTGGTAAAATTTGGGCCAGATCTGGCCCAGTTTTTGTTAGGCCAGAAATGAGGCCTTAAACGAGTTCTTTTTTGTCCCACCCTCACTTGGTTCAAAAAAGAACCGGCTTATCTCAAAACTGCGTCAGGATCAACCCTGACCCAGTTTTGAGAGGTTTGCCAAATACACCCTAAAGGAAGGAAAAAATCGAAATTCCCACTCTTAGTCTGATCCAGTATCCCACTCAGAAAACAGCCAAATGACATGTATCAATGTTTATATTCTTTGTCTAAATCAGTTTTGATATGAAGCAGACGCTGACATGTATCATCACTTTATTCCATGATGTTCCTCATCATTTCGACTACTTTCTGTTATATTACGAGTATTCCAAGTTAACTGTCATCACGTAATTTTTCAAAGCCATACGATCCGTTAAGAAGAGTCGAGAACAAAGAGCAACTATAACAGCACTAGGTTAAAGATATGCAGGTCCCAAGTGGGTCTGGTATTACCAAGGATCTAAGCAATTTTATTGAACTGCTAAGAATTTTTAAAGCCAAAGAAAAAGAAAGAAACCTCTCTCCATATGTCAATATTTGTCTGCCGATGTCTTCTGATGCTACCATCTGCAAGTCAAATAATAATATACCAGATAAATGATCAGCTGAACAATGCAAAATATCTACAAAACTGAAGAGAAAATAACTTACTCTTGATTCAAGATTCATCAGAATTGCAGACTTAGTTGACGCCTTGGCACGATCCAGTTGTTTCTGGTCAACTGCAATAGAAAGAAAAATGTAAACTACAGCCACTTCACACTTCACAGACAAGGAAGGCAAGCATTAAGTGAAAACAAACCTTGTCCTGGTGTTGCAATAGCAAGAAGTTCTCTCACTGCTAAATCCACAGCTTTAGAAACAAAATCTGGACCCTGAACATGAGTAAAAGTTATGTTTGAGATCTATGAAAAAACAGCATAAAACTCAATATTCATTGAGCATCATCTCCTATAGAGACATAAGTAGCACAAACAGTTGAACCAATAAAACAAAATAGGATTTGTAGTTAAGAACTATGCACATCCACCAAAATGAATAGGAATACCCGCAAGAATTCAACAGGAGTCAGTTGGAAGGCAGTATCTGATCTTTACAAATTTCACAGGAACACAAACTTCTAAATTATTAATCACGACAATCTTCATCTAGACGAAAGCTGAAAGCAGTGATCATCAACATTTAAGCATTTTTCCATGAGTGTACATTTGGTTATTTGCAACGTCAAGAAAAAAAGAGGAAAAGAGAGCAATGGGGAGAAGACCACTTTCTTTGTAATAGATATTGACCCAGCAGATTATGAATCAGTGCCAAATTAGTACACAAAACGTGAAGAGGGTTTCTTTGAATCCTGGGCATCCAATTGGTAAGTGGACATACCTACCTTATCTTCTAGGATTATTTATATCCCGGACTCTGTTGTATGGTGCAATTACACAGGTGACCTTGAGGTTTTTGTATCTACATGGATAACCCTGAGATTATTAACTGAGACTGCATGAGTAACCCTGAGTAACCTTACAATTACTTTCATTAGGGTTACTCATGTAGTCTTACTCAGTAGTCTTCGAGTTATCCGTGTAGATACATAGATCACGGGGTCATCTGTGTAATTGCACCATACCACAAGGCACCACAGGGCACAGGGAATAATCTAATCTTCTTAATAATCCAGTTAGTATACACCCTTTAGTGTTATTATATATTTTAATGTCATATTGTATCATTCTTACCCATATCCTCGTATCCTCTTTTTGAGGAATTGTTCTGTCTCATTTCTGAGTTTGTGCTCATGTCGCACCGTTGTCTGTGTCTGTTCCATGCTACTTCAAAACCTTTGTACAAACATGGTTGCGGCTTGGACCTTTTATACAAGGTGTTGACACTGATCAAGGCTATATCATCTTTACATGATGACTCCTATATTGTTTTACACAACCTTAAAGTACACTTCTCAAGGTTATATCATCTTCATATGATGACTCCTATATTGGTTATGCAACCTTAAAGTACCCAAAAGTGTCTTTAGAATGTTCAAGAGTAATTTATAAGCTAAACCGCAACATGTCCAAGTAGTATTTGTTCAGAATATAGAGAAAAAAGCACACTAATACTATAAGCACTAGCCCCTGGATAAAACAAACAGATGGGTTAAGTTCCTCATTCAATTGTTTGCACAAAAGGATTCATCAGGCACAATATTATCTTCTTATCATAGGTAAAGGTTCCTCTCACTACTCTAATAAATATATAATTGAATATTAGTTACTACTTGATACCCTGGTTGAATCAGGGCACCATATGTGGTAACCTGCAAAATATCCTAGTTGTATTTCTTTTGGTGTTGCAACCATACCAGCACCAGACCACGTAAAAGCAAACAGTATTCCGGTTTTATCCATAATCTGACAAATGCTTACATGCACAAATAATCCTATTTTAACCCATGAACATGCCAATGTGACACGAAAGTACTCTTTCCTCATAAGATAATGAACGCAGAAAACTACAAGCAGCTTCACAACAAGAGTAAGAAAACTTCAGCTAATATATACAGACAAACAAACGATCGAGAAACTCCAGCTTATGGATACAGATGGACAGCAACATAGAGCAATGCTGCCAGCAGCATTCAACAAAGGTATAAAGTGTTCTCTCCAGCAGCTCTCACATATATCAACCAGTAACATAACAAAAATGGTCATAAAAAGAAATAAAGAATGTGAAAGATATATAAAAAGCAAAGAAATATGCATGCCAATTAGCAATCATACATGTACATATAAAAACAGTGCCTTACCGATTTTACAAAACACGATTGGTGTGTAGCAAAAAAACAAGAATCATGAAATATTATGAAAAGCAAGAAATATCGGACACATAGAGAACTATACGCAAACAGTGCCTTTCCCACTTTTAAAACACCAATTATACATACTATAAAAATAACATGCTAATAATCTATTAACCATATGTACGTAGTTGTAGAGCATCTTACAGTTGTTGCATGAATTCCAAAAAGCCCACTGTTGTTGTAGATGCTGTTGAAAGCAGAGAATGACTGAATCTGTGGATGCTCATTCAGTATACGTTGATCTACATGTTGAAAGTTTGATAGTCATGGGTATATATCATTGACAAAGCAAACACAGAACTTTACATGTAACAGAGCACATTAAAGAATTAGATATGACAGTAAGAACTGCACTTTTTACATTTGAGTTCACAATGTTTTCTGAAAAATAATCAAAATTAGTTGGTATAACTTACATAATCGAGAGTACATTCCTTTTCCAGGACCTCCTGCAGAAAAGGAGCCTCCCCCACCCATAAGCATCTGCAGTGACAAGATTGAACTAATATGTCATTGCTACATATAGATGCACAACAAACTGAAATATTCTTCTAATCACCCTACTATCAGGCAAACAAAATGATTTTACTTCAAGTACCTGAAGTACTGTAACGGTCATAGCTTCCTTATCCTGGTGCCAGCCACCAGGAACCTCAAAAGCAAGAGCAACATGTGTGTTCTGTTCCAAAAAGAGTACATACAAAATTGGATAAATCAAGCATCCACAAACCTAAGAGATGGATATAATAATAAAACAGGTTTCTTTATACATACACTAGAATCTGCTTGACACCTGTAGTCTCCACCAACATACACAGATTTTGGTTCCTGTGGACGAGGCACCTTGGGAAGGTCAGAGAGAAGTGGCTCAGCAATAGAAACCAATTCTGAATGGTCTACACCAGTTGCAGCAAGAACAATTCTGGAAGCAGTATAGTTTTGCTGAAGTTATCAGAACAAACAAATAATGGCACATCAGAGTTTCGGACTTGGGATCTAAACAATAAGATACTTAACATGATGAAAACACAGAACAGGTTGGTCTTACAGCAACAAAGTCCTCCAAAATATCACTATTTAGTCTATTAATAGCAGATTCTGGTGCCATCAGAGGATTTGCTAATGCACCAGAGTACCCAGCAGAGTGAAGTGACTCCAATAGCAAACCTTGTGGATTGTTAGAAATTTCACCAATCTCAGCCTTCACTTTTTGCAGCTGCATTGAAACACCTGATTAAGATTCAATTCTTCAGGAATGAATAAATGAACACAGATCTGACAAAATAGAATACCTGCTCATTTACTTCCCAGTCAAGAAAAGCAGGATTCCTGACAGAATCAATTAGCACCTCAACCATTTCCGGCATGTAGGTTTTTAGAGCATCATAAGTGTAACCCATTTGTTCACGAGAAGCAGATGCTGTAACATTGCCTCCAATTGCCTCAACTTCACGCACAAGGCGCAAGTGGCTCCTGTTCGTAGTACTCTTGAAGGCCATCCTCTCCAAAAGATGTGTGACTCCAAGTGAAGCAGGTGTCTCGTATACAGAACCACATTCTACATAGAGCCCAATAGAAGCAGCTGGGTTCTAAAAGCAAGCCAAACAAATATAGTTACAACACCAGAACAGCGATAGAAATGATATTAACAGTATGAAATTTTTTAAGTACATACAGGTGATGTTTCAGAGGCAATTTTCACTCCGTTTGGAAGAGTTGTAATCCTTGTCTCGCCCGCTTCTACTTTATCAGGCAAGGGTGGGGGCAGTGTGACCCCCTCAAGAGGGAGTTCCAGAGAGGGAAGTTTCTGAGAACCCCTAGTGAGCCAGCCAAAGAATCCGGAGCCTCCAGAAGAAGGTTTTGCAACAGCTGTACTAGCTAATCTTGTTGCAGCGCCAAGAACTCCAGTCTCACAGGCATTTCGCTGAAAAAGAAACACATCGCTTACTTCCATTTTGAAAATTGTGCTTGAAACTTTCATGTAACTGACTACAACTTATATTAAAGGCAAATGAAATAAGAAAGATAAACATTATGGCATAGTCTTCTTTCGAACCAAAAAAGCACAAGGTTATTCTCAGATTAGAGTAAAATTGCCACTAAAAAGATGCTGATTTTGCGTCATCAAAAATGTTGATGTAAACTTGTTTTTACAAAAAACTCAGATATACTTATATATCAACAAGAAAGATACCTACCTTAATAGAGATCACAAAAGGGTCAAATCAAAGTCTTTTATACGGTTCATATCAAAAAATTTTTGAAAAACAACCCATTTTTATCACAATAACTGTAAATACCAACATCATCGCTTCAATTTCAAACGATTAATCTCTAGCATGTCTTAAGATCAATACACAGTAAAGATTTTCTTTTTTTTCAAAATGAAAATAAGCCGATCCTGGAATGACCACTAGAAAACATCAGATCCAACAATTACCTACACTACTCAATCAAAATTTTACCGAAACAAGATATCAAACGCATAAGATTCTAACGAATATCAAAAAAAAAAATCCTGAAGTTCGAGATCTAAGGTTAGGGTTTGGGAGGACAAAGCTGACCTTGAGAGCCCGAAGGCGGGAGCCAGCAACTCGATACATGATGGCGGAGGGAATGGATCACAAACCCTAACCCTAGCTAGGTTTCGCTCTTAGAGAGAGAGAGAGAGAGACAGAGAGAGGAGGCGATCCAAAAGAAGGGAAGAAGAGGTCTCGGTGCGTATCGCGAAATAAGGACTCGGATCCTCTACTGATGAGAGGGTTGCTAATATTTCCTAATGAACAAATCTTAGCCGCTCATTTTACATCAACGGCCAGTATCCTCACCCCATAGAACCACATTCTACATAGAGCCCAATAGAAGCAGCTGGGTTCTAAAAGCAAGCCAAACAAATATAGTTACAACACCAGAACAGCGATAGAAATGATATTAACAGTATGAAATTTTTTAAGTACATACAGGTGATGTTTCAGAGGCAATTTTCACTCCGTTTGGAAGAGTTGTAATCCTTGTCTCGCCCGCTTCTACTTTATCAGGCAAGGGTGGGGGCAGTGTGACCCCCTCAAGAGGGAGTTCCAGAGAGGGAAGTTTCTGAGAACCCCTAGTGAGCCAGCCAAAGAATCCGGAGCCTCCAGAAGAAGGTTTTGCAACAGCTGTACTAGCTAATCTTGTTGCAGCGCCAAGAACTCCAGTCTCACAGGCATTTCGCTGAAAAAGAAACACATCGCTTACTTCCATTTTGAAAATTGTGCTTGAAACTTTCATGTAACTGACTACAACTTATATTAAAGGCAAATGAAATAAGAAAGATAAACATTATGGCATAGTCTTCTTTCGAACCAAAAAAGCACAAGGTTATTCTCAGATTAGAGTAAAATTGCCACTAAAAAGATGCTGATTTTGCGTCATCAAAAATGTTGATGTAAACTTGTTTTTACAAAAAACTCAGATATACTTATATATCAACAAGAAAGATACCTACCTTAATAGAGATCACAAAAGGGTCAAATCAAAGTCTTTTATACGGTTCATATCAAAAAATTTTTGAAAAACAACCCATTTTTATCACAATAACTGTAAATACCAACATCATCGCTTCAATTTCAAACGATTAATCTCTAGCATGTCTTAAGATCAATACACAGTAAAGATTTTCTTTTTTTTCAAAATGAAAATAAGCCGATCCTGGAATGACCACTAGAAAACATCAGATCCAACAATTACCTACACTACTCAATCAAAATTTTACCGAAACAAGATATCAAACGCATAAGATTCTAACGAATATCAAAAAAAAAAATCCTGAAGTTCGAGATCTAAGGTTAGGGTTTGGGAGGACAAAGCTGACCTTGAGAGCCCGAAGGCGGGAGCCAGCAACTCGATACATGATGGCGGAGGGAATGGATCACAAACCCTAACCCTAGCTAGGTTTCGCTCTTAGAGAGAGAGAGAGAGAGACAGAGAGAGGAGGCGATCCAAAAGAAGGGAAGAAGAGGTCTCGGTGCGTATCGCGAAATAAGGACTCGGATCCTCTACTAACGAGGGAGTTGCTAATATCTCCTAATGAACAAATCTCAGCCGTTCATTTTACATCAACGGCCAGTATCCTCACTACACATCCCCATGAAGTTCTCTCTCCCCTTCACAACCCCCTTCAACATCCTGCAGCTCCCTCTCTCCCCCTCCCTCTCTCCCCCTCCAAGATCATCGGCGCTCGGCGCTCTCTCCCCCTCGATCTCGATTCGCGAGCTCACCGCAGATCTGGACCACCTCCGCGAGCCGACCCCGCCGTTGATCTCTCTCTCTCTCGATCTCGATCTCGATCCGCGAGCGGAGTTCGTCGCAGATCTGGACCACCTCCGCGAGCTCTCTCTCTTCCCCAAAATTCCTCCGCGAGATTCCTCCTCCGACGCTGCAGGTAATCTCTCTCGATCCGCGGGCGAAGTTGGATTACTTATGTGGTGAGGTTATTTATTGAGTTAATTCCTAGAATTTTAGTGACTATATGTGGGTAGTTGTTGCCTTTTTTTTTTAATTGAAAGACTGGTAATGAGAATAGGGGTAGAAGATAGCAGATTATGTATCATAATTGCTGAGAGTGTGATTTGGGAGGAGAAATTGCTAATCATTGTTTAGGCATCATACTGCAAGTTTACGGATGGTTAAGACATATTATCGTTCTTTTTCTTTCATGACTGCAAGTTGAATATAGATCATGAAAATATTTCTTTATGACTTTTTATTAAGACTATATCAAACTGTGGTTTATAGGGGGGGATTTTTTTTTTTAAATTCAGATATGATTAGTATTTAATTTTTATTGTGTCATGAAATCTTCTAATAAATGAGATCAAGCACAGGCAGAATACTAGACTGATTGTGCTGAAATTAGTAGGCTATGGAGATGGGATTTGGATTCTGGGTGTAGATGATTGTTGTTGATTTTGGATTCTGGGTGTAGATTGATTGTACTGCTTGCTTATGATTTTGATATATGATTGACTATTGCAGGCATTATGGAAGAGCCTGTGGAAGAAAACAATGATAGTTTGGAGCGTTTAAAAGAAGACTTAAAACCTAAATTTTTTATGGAGTTTGATTCTGAGATCGATGCATATGACTTTTATAACGAATATGCACGCAGTGAAGGCTTTAGCATTAGAAGAGCTGCTTATGCTGCAGATAAACAAGGTGTACTCACTTCAAGAACATTTGTTTGTTGTAAGGAAGGTTTGCGGAAGGCGGATAAGAGAGACGATTTGACGAGAAATCCAAGAGGAGAGACAAGGACTAATTGTGGAGCGGTTATGGGGATTAAGTTGGTAAGGCGTACTGGCAAGTATTATGTTTATCGTTTCTCTGAAGAGCATAACCATCCTCTTATCAGCCAAGAATCTGTCCATTTTATGCCATCTCATCAAAAAATCACATCAACAAATGAAGCCTTTTTAGACTTGACAGCAAATTCAGGTCTTTCGCCGAAGTCTGCATTTGAATTAATGGGTCAACAAGCACATTAATTTTGTTGTACATGCACATAATAAAACTGAAGATAAATATTCCTTACTACAATTTACAGATCAAAGAAACCCTCTAAATAGGAGAAAGAAAACTATTCTACAGACGGACTTGACTTAAAAACAAAGACCATCCCCGCCAGTCATGTTGTTTATAACTCCTTCGATTATGTTCTTCACTTCAGCCTTTCTATCTATGAGGTCAGAACAATAACCAGTTTGAGTATGCTTATCAAGCTTTTCCTTCACTTTTGCCTTATTTTTCCATGCATGAAGACATTATTGTCAGAAGCTGAAGAATAGACCAAACTTATTAAAGAAACACATTAACCAGTTTGAGAAAAAAGGAACTGTAAATATGCACAAGGAAATGTAATACTCATATGAGGAAAACACCATGAGAATTAAGATTTAACCATGACTCAACTACCAAATAACCAGAATCCAAAATCAACAACAATCAAAGGGAGATAGGGGATGTTGTCGGAGGAGGAGTTGGGGGATGTCGTCGGAGGACACCGGATGGCGGAGGTGGGCGAGGAGGAGTTGGGGGATGTCGGCGGAGGAGGGGATGTCGGCGAAGTTGGGTGCCGTCAGCGGAGTTGGTGGATCTCGAGAGAGAGCGATCGCGGGTCGACTGAGGAGGCGGATGTCGTCGAAGTTGGGGGAGCTTGGGAGAGAGATCGAACGAGAGGGATGACGGCGAGATGACAAGGAGAGGGAGGCGGTGTCGAGGAGGCGGGTTGAGGGGGAAGAGGCTGTAGTCGGCTGATGGTGGCGGATCTGATGGAGGAGGCGGCGGTGATCGGAGCTTGGGGCTGGAGGAGTGGGGAGAGAACGAATGGATTAACTTTATTAATGAATCTGCTTACACGTTTAAAAAAGTAAAGTTATAAAACAACTTGTGCTTTGCACGGGCATGAAAACTAGTGCAAATAGAAAACTCGAAGGGATTCAGACCAACAGGAGATGCGTGCAGGAACCAAATCCGAAAATATCAACATGCTAAAAGGGCTGCTGAAAAAAAAAGCAAGAAATAAATATAATACTTGTTTAATTTTGATCCTCACAAAGTTAAAAAAGAAAAACATTTTGGTTACATTGAGCAATCGACTATAGCACTTGGCATCCAGTCCCCATCCACCAAGTCCTTACAACTCACTGGACTTGAACAAGGAACTGATTAAAAACCAGTGGTACAGTTAATATACAGTGAATCAAAATGCCTCCAAAAGCAGAACCCACCGTTTCTTGCAAATGTTAAGGTGTTCCAACTTCTTCGACCCCGCTAGCCTACTTTGCTCTCAAACCTGGGACATTGTTGAGCCCCATCTTTCTAAGAACAAGCTTGGCAATGGCAGGAGGATTCTCGAGCCCCATGCTTCGACTGAACTCACTTGCTAGAAGTACAAGCTTATACTTGTCTCGTCCAATCATCTTGTTCGAATTGTAGTAACCAAGCCATGCTTGATATGCCGACTCTTTGTTCTTCATCTCCACATGTGCAAGTGCCCGATCAACCTTTGCAGATGATAGGAAAAAAAACACATAAAACATTGTAAGTTTGAAGCTCAGAATGTGAGCGGATACGATCGATTAAAAACTGGCGAAGCACATGCATTAACATCTAATTTGTAACCAATCCATCAATTAGATATCGCCCCACAAACAAAAAGTTGGACAAGTGGCAATTAGACGTGCTGACACAAATAAATAAATGTCACTAGATATAGATTTTACATCCCAAGAATAATGTATGCAAGTGCAACTAGGGATTAAATTTTCACAAACACAAGTGACGATTCCTAGTTCCAGGCATGACAAAGCAATGGACCCATAATTCTGCAGCGTTAATTTTATTATATTCTACTGCAACTTGCATGTCACTTCTATATATAAGAAATTCTTGTTATTGGTTGAAAAATCATCGTCAAAATGGACTTCGTTATGAAGCAAGGATCCATGAATCTTCAACAAAAATTATGACCGGCTATTAATTGACATGAAGTCAACCCTCTCTTAGTGTCAAATACCTAGCAAAGGCAAGTATGACAGGCGATATAGCTGCCAAATTCCTAAAGCCTCAGATCCCTAAATTCTCCTATGCCAGGAAAATGATATAAGTAAAGCGGAAAGACAGTAGGTTTGCTTTAAAGATTACAGAATTATACTCAACTCAGAGGAAGAAAGACGAGCCAAATGGAATTTTTGAAATTGGCACGAACCTTATTTATCACAATAAAATAAGTAGAAATGAATTCATTAAGGTTCAGTGTGATTGGGTACCATTATTTCCTTGCATGAAAGATGCTAAAAAGCACATAGATCTTAGAAGTAGAGAAAAAGGAGAATACAAGAGAAACTCACCTTTTTTATGGTGTCAGGGTCAACTAGGGGTGCTGGAGCCTTTGTCAAAGGTAAATCCTTGATGGTGGACAAGAAGAACTCTTCCCATGGTGCCAGCAGCAATATACCTTTTCCTTCCTTACCTTTTCTGCCAGTCCTACCAAGTCGATGTATATATTGTTCTCTGTCTGAAGGCACACCAACCTGTGATACAAATAAACAAGTATTCAAAAGGTAACCCACAGGATGATTAAATTTCTATGGCCACAAAGCGTCTCTAATGAAACTAATACAAATTCAGAGAAATTGATTGCTTAGCTGACACTAGAATACTTCTAATTTATCACCTACATGACTCCTGTCAATCATACTGATCCATTCAAAGGCTTTTTAGTAATGGAACTTAAATATTAAATTTTAAAACTAAAGTACTATCTTAACATCATTACAAGAAAAAACTAAGAACTAACCCTGAGTTAAGAACACTGCATATTCCCTAAATAATCTCTGTATTAGACAGCAATATATAAGAACACTGCATATTTCCTAGATAACATCTCTATTAGACAGCAACGTATAAGAAATTTTTTTAATAAAGAAGAGGTTCTAGTTTCCCAAGAATTATTATGCACTTTTGAAGTCTACAATGTCCATCACAAATAATAGATGACACCATGCAGTATAACTTTATTGTGTGTGCGTGCGTGATGATGATTCTCGCTACTACTCTAAAAGTTTGCACTAAGAAATGAAGTAGGATCTAACTGCGGGATTTTATGTTTCTCCTTGCATCCAATTAGGACTGAGAGGATGCATAGGACCATGGTGTTAACTTTCTAAGGACATTGTTAGTAATATGTTGAAGCTACCGCATATATGCAACTTAATTAAAAAACATATATATATATATATATATGGTTCTGTAACTTTGAGGCTTTCTAGAATGTATTTCTCTTACATTCAATCTCAGCTCTGACAAAAAGTCAGCAACAAGTTTCGTCACCATTGCAGTTGTACAGAACACAATCACCTGAAAAATATCTCCCATTGACAATATTGCAAACAAGAACATCTGGAACAAAGACAAACATATTTCCAGGATCGGCAAATAGTAAAGCATACCTTGTACTCAACGTCCTCTGCTATGTGGTCTGTTAAAAGACTATATAATATTGGAAGTTGCTTCTCTAGTGGTGCAATTAAATGCATTTGTCTAACCTGTTTCATCAGACTAGATTAAAGAGTGACAAGATGATTGATGTACTGATCACAAATAAATATATTACATCTGCAAGCTACCTGCGAGTGTGTCTCTTCACTACCTTCTTCAACTGTGTTAACAAACTCATGGTCTCTTTTCATGGCAATATAACAAATTTGGCGGACCTGAGGTCAAAAAACAGAGCACATGTTACTCTTTTCTCGAATGCTTTTGTAAAGCTGGAGATAACAGAAACTTATATGGTCATGACCATACCTCATCTGGAACTGTAGCAGAGAAAAGGAGTGTTTGACGCTGTTTTGGAACAGCAGCAACAACTTTTTCAATATCTTTCCGGAATCCCATATCTAATAAACGATCAGCTTCATCAAGAACAAGGACTTTCACACCCATTAGCCGAGTTGCAAATCCTGGTGTGTTCTCGATATGATCTCTAAGCCTTCCAGGCGTGGCAACAAGAATCTGTCGATCTAGACGTTAGCATAAAGCTTACAAAAAATAATAATAATCCAGCTTTTCTAAAATCAAGTAAAGCTTTTAACCTGGCAAGGGTTAGCTTGCATGCGCTTTTGTTCCAATGCCAGTCTTGTGCCACCTATAACAACTTGTACACCGATAGAGGGATGAAACTTCAAAAGGGTGTTTGCCTCTGCACCAGCTTGATCTGCAAGTTCACGAGTTGGGCAAATAACAAGCACATTGATTGAAGGCCTCTTTTGATCACGGTTAATGGGCGGTAATTTTGAGACGATCTCTATTGCCGGGAGCTGAAATCCAACAATTTTTGTAAATAGGAGCACACCAAGCCAGATTTTTTTGCTTAAAAAGTGGGTAAACATGAACTGCAAATTTCAATCGCAGTATCCAGTACAAGAGATGGACTTACCAAAAATGCTACGGTTTTCCCCGTTCCTGTCCTTGCTTTTGCAAGAACATCTTTACCTGCAAACACAAAGCTATAGTATAAACATTGAATCATCCAGGAATCTTGACTATGATATACACCCTACATTCCAAAGTTCCATTTTACAGACAAAATTGCATCTGTGATATTTAAATTAGTAAAACCTGTATGTTGCAGCAATTCCAAAGGTAAATGATTTGAAATATACATTGCTATTTATAGACAAAAAAGAAGAAAAATGCAATGTGTAAAAGAAAGTGGCCTTCGAAATGCCATGGGGAGGGACCTTACACTAATAGAGGAATTAAAAGAAATAATCACTTTCAGATACTGCCCAGACTGCAGAGTCCCACTCAAGTAATAAGTGACATATCAATCAAGTAGGAAATAGGATCCACAGAAGCAATTTGTAACAGGCTAACAGAAAACAGAGAGAATTAACCAAATAGAGAAGCTGACATGTTAAATATGTGATAAGGGTACCATTATCATGAATTTATAGAGAAGATAATTTGGATTAGATAACAAAGAAGCTGACCCTTAAGGATGACTGGGAGGGTAGCTTCTTGCACTAAAGTCATCCTCTCATATCCAGCTGCTTTTACTCCTTTCAAAGTCAAAGAGGATATAGAACATTGATCAAACCTGTAGTACACGAAAAGAATTGTCAAGACTCAACAGTCAAATTTGGAAATTTTCTGGAGATATGATTGACAACTGCTCATTGAAACTCCAAGCTCCAGCAGTAACATTCCAGACATGGTTTCTAATATTGCCTAATTTATGTATGAAAAAAAGCAATACTAATGTAATTGGAATTCATCAAGAACATCCTATTACCGGCTTCTAGAATTTACACACTTACGTGTGCATAAAGGCGATGTTACTCATATAACCACGATAAGTATAGAGAAATGCCTCATATATAGTTATTGTAAATAAATTCACATAAAGAAAAAAGGAATTCTGATGGCTATTCAGATGACTAATAATTTCATGTAAGAATCTTGAAATTCACAGAAAGATGCTTTAGCGAATACATCTTGGAGAAAGTTTTCAGAGGGCCAGCTGCATTGAAAGAAAAATTAACAGCGGCAGAACAATGGTCACTGATCTAGACAATCCACCTACACAGCTGCAGGCAGACTTGAATCATGAGTCAGAAAACATCAAAAAATAATAATAATGTAAATCGAATCCAAAGTATCTTGGCTAAGCTTAATCAGTATCAAATAGATAATTTTATCCCAAATACAGATGCACCTTAGTAGAATCAAAGAATCAGAATGTACAAACATATACTTCTAGAGACATATAATTGCCAACCAACAAGCCCCAAAAGGCAACCTTCCAGGTTCAGGCTATGGAGACTGTGAACATGATCTAGGTTCAGTCTAGGTCCAGATCTCTTGCCAAATCCACATTCATTGCTTGGTTAGGCATTAGGGTGAAGGTAAGGAGTCTACAGAAAACTTCCAATCTGCTTTTTCCATTTATTAGCTGAAACCTCAAGCCAAACCCCTAAACATTTTCTCCCTATCTTGTGTTTTTGACAATACAGGAGCTATTGTACTATGGATGAGATTGTAGCATACTCTCATTGAGAAGATGATGATTCTGAAGGCAAGTGAAGTGTCACTTTCACCACCAGAAGAAAGATCTAATCATCTAAACTCGTTGATGTATTCGCATGCTCATCACACAAGTTATCTCTAACTAGGATAAAATAACTATGACCCTCCATTTGAAATGAAACTTGCCATTTTTCTGTGCAATAGAAAAGAATATTCTCAGAAGTTCCAGTATTAAGCTTTGGGCTGGAAAACTAGATACTTAACTCTAGTTTATAATTTGTTGCATATATGTCAGCTTACTTATAAGCTAAGTTGCATGGAAACGGATACGGGTACTGATAGGGGTGCGGGTGCAGGACATGGAAAAATTGTAAAATGTAGGGTATGGGGACACAACTACATTTATATATTGAAAATTAATAATTTACATGAGATCATTCAATTCATGTTTCACTAGGATTAAAATTCCTATCACATTTTAAGTTTATTTTATTATATTGATAATTATAAATTGGAAGTTACTTGTTTTTGAACTAGACACCCAAACAACCCTTTAAAATCATAGTTTTGAACTCAGGTATGAGCTGAAACAAACCCTACCATGTCTAACGAGTTTCAAGAAATGGTTATGAAGTATAGGATATAAGCCTAAAAAGTGTTCGACAAGTGTTTTAAACTAAAACATATATCATATAACTGAGTAGATGGCTACATAGATGTATGCACGTATCCAAGGAGTTTCCATGAAGTTTGGGTACAGACACATGTCGCGTACGGGTGCGGCTTCATGATAGAAGTACTCGGGTAACATAGCTTATAAGTTAACTCTCTGCTTCCTAAAAGCAGAGGGTCTAGTACAAAATTTCTCAACATACTGTGTCGACCGCATTTACATTTATGTAAAAACTATTTGATTCTCAAAATGTAAGAATTGACTGGTTGAGTTTTATTGCTTAAATTAAAAAAAAAATTGAGTGGTGAAAAGGCTACAAATGTCCAATGGCAAATAAAACAGAGATGGTAAAAAGCTACACGCATCCAATACCCAATGCAAACTGACAAACATCGCAGAGAGTGAGAGAGAGCAAAGATTTAGCGACAGAAATTGAGTGTTGGAACATTCTAAACATGAAAAGAATTATTGTCTTCTTGTAGGAACCCAGTGTTTTAAATATCGGCCGCCATGGCGGACATGGCGGCCGATATTGCGGTTTTGTTGCCTAGCCGATACGAAATCGCTGATTTTAACTCGTATTGCGTTTTTGGGGTCATGGCGGGGATATATCGGAAAAAATCGGACATTGCGGGCGCCATTTCGGGGATCAAAAATCGGCCAACTTTGTTAAATATCGGTTTTAGGCTTATTGGGTCGAATTTGAACCCGACCCGACCCAATACGCCATATTAGTGATCCATTTATGATATTATGTAGGTCAAGCATTCGTATGGTGTCAATATGCACTCGGGAATCAGGTGTCTACAATTGGTTAGTGATCCTAACATCAATAATCATATAATATGCACTCGGGAATCAGGTGTCTACAATTGGTTAGTGATCCTAACATCAATAATCATATGTTTAGACAATATAATTATCAAGTATGTGAAGATTCCATTTATGATATTATATCAACCTATCCGATATGACAATCCGATATTTTTTTCATGTCCCCCGATATATCCCCGATTTCCGCTATCCGACATGAATTTTGGCCGACCGACATGAACCCGACATCCGACATTTAAAACATTGTAGGAACCTATGGCGAGGGTGGGTCAAGTCTAAAGGGGTTTAGACTTTTCAAGGTCATCAAAAGAATAAGGATCAATGCCTATTTAATGGTCCTACCAATGCTCTAGTTACCTATCATATGTTTGACATTGTCGACCTTATCATATTATTCATATATGATGGAGAGCTACTAGATGCAGTGAAGTTCTACGGTTCCATAAACCAAGATGCAAAGTTCTCAAATGATCTATCGAATATGTGATGAATGTACACACTATTCTAATAGACGAGCATTCATCATCACTTGTGATCTGTGAATGCTTAAAATTTCCCTCTTTATGTATGATAAAAAAGGGGCAATTTAAACTAGTAGAAAAACATCGAATGGCACAAACAATTTTTACGGGGATAACACACTTAGGGGTAAAAAGTAAAAACACTGGACATACTCCAAATAAAAAAATTCCACTATCTCCAACAACAGGATTGTTATGGGTCTAGTCTAGACTCTAGAGACTAGATAGTATCAGAGAGATACAAATGATAGATAATTAACAACATACATCACCAAGAAAATTGGATACTTGATAGCATGAAACAAACTCTCAACAGATTAGGTAGGTAGCAAAGGACTGTGGAGGAACTGGATTGACGATCCTTGTGAGCACCAATAATCCACAAACAACACTCTAAAATTTTGATTCAATCGGAATCCATTTGTTTCCCTTCAATCAAGGACGAAACCTATTGCTGGACTTTTTGATTTATTTTCAGAGCTATAGATTTCACTTCCTCTTTTTTTCAACTTTTCTGTCTAATTTCCTCTACATCAGTCCACCATCTAATAGCCCCTACATAAACTATAAAGGATTCCTCGTTGCCAAATTCCAATGGAAAATCAATTTCGCAATTACTCTAGGTATATTTCCGAAAGCATGCCACCTTCAACCACACCAAAGCTAGTATTTCCAATGTTGACTAGCGCCTTTTAACTTTCTTGGTCAACATTAAAGATTATGTCTCAAAGTTTGGATCACTTAACACTTCCTTCAGCTGATTGCACTTTGATCAACAAGTATAAGTTAAAATGACAGGGCGATGACCGTTAGAAGAAAGTAGCAGAGGCTTTCTTGTCAGTTGATGATTCCTTGCATATGAAAGAAAGTGGTCATTTGCATTTTATTAGTAATTGTTATTTTTATTGTTTTGTAAGTTTATGGATTAGGTTTTATGTGATTGTTTGTTGATGATTATATTGGAAATAGAAATCTTAAAGGAAATATATAATTGCCCCCAGAAACTGCAGGGGTACATATTTATAACTATATCAATATAGTTGTAAAGGCACCTGTATCAGAGCCAGCTTAGTTGCAGTTTACCTTTACACAACCTAAAAGCTGCAGTTTATTCTTTAACAGCCTGATAAACCATTTATTTATCTTTTTACATGATATAATAAAGTTCTACTTATATTGCTACCACCTAACTTAATTAAGCTTATTTGTACATGGTAAATTCAAATCTTATTTAAATTGATATTGCTGAGCTTAAATTTCGAGTTTCACTTTCCCACATTCTATTGAAAATCTAGCATGTTTCATTCTCTGTTCTTTTTATAAGCACTAAGATAGGGTTCGTTACTGTTATTTACAATATTGGTGTAGATAGTTCATGAACCACAAACATAACAAATTACAATATAATCACAGGTAATTAGCAAAATTTCTCCAGTCCACGTAACTATGTGGTTACATTATCTTCTTATTCTACCGGTATGAACGCAGCAAGTAAGAAAAGAAAACATGTTACGTTAACTTCCATAATACATGTCCTCTACATGCAGGCTTTATATTAACATTTAGACAACATAAACTGCTAACAACCTTAAAGTTTTCATCTTGTAGCAACCATCACAATATAATTCATGTAATTTGAAACCGAATACTAAAAGGTGAACAAAGTTACCTTGTATTGCTCAGGTAAGAATCCTGGTCACCACCAGAGCTTCTCGACACTTGTTTTTCACTATTTGCATTCCCTAATTCAGCAGAAGTATCACTCTTCAAGAACGAATCCTTCATACCCAACTTTTTTCCATCCACCTTGTCACCAAAGAAATCGTCATCAGAACCATACACATCATCATCATCGTCATCATCCTCATCCTCTGACATTGCTCTAATTGATTTTCGGCCTTGCTTATAACTAGACTCAGTATTTCTACCTCCTCTCTTAGAGAAACTCGAAGACGACCCACGCCCTCTACTCTGTCCAGATAAAAACTGTTCCTTTTCCTCCTCTTCTTCCTCTTCATCCTCATCTTCCAAATCACTAACAAACCTCCTCTTTGGTTGAGAACCTCTCGTCTTTCTCTCTGAAAACCCTTCAGAACTCCGATTGTTTCTCAATCCATTCGATCCCCTCGAACCCCTCCTATCTCCTCCATCAAAATCGCTATCGAACCGCCTCCTCGGCATAGAACCACCAGAATTCCTTTCCGAGAACCCAACCGAACCTTTCGGTCCCCTTTGACTCGAAAACCCATCTAAATCCCTACCCCTAATTCCATCACCCCTCTCGTTTCTCCTCCCACTCCTCCTGCGATCCCGATCAGCCTCCTCATTATCGCTCCCACTCAACCCCAACTTAAAAGAATCAGTCTTCAAATCGCTGACCCAATCACTAAGCTCAGCCTCGTCCTCAATCAAGCTCTTCCCCTGCCCACCGCCGGCGGCCGCCCGTTCCGATCGGAACCCAGACCGCCCTCCGTCACGAGGCCTCGGCGCTCGACTCGAGAATCTCCGGGCACTGGAAACCTTAACAGAAGAGAAACTTAATGAAGGATTTGTAGAGAAAGTTAGGGTTTTGATGCGGAAGGCGAAGGTACCGCGGAGGATCTTGGATGAGGTGAGGATGCGAAGGGGGAGGAGCTGACCCGCCCCGCCATTGTTTGATTGGTGGTGAGAATTGAAAACCCTAACCCTAATTTTGAAGGGAAAGGAGACTGGGGGAGCATAAAGGGGTTTGGGGTTTTAGTAGGGTTTTTGGTTCTCTGGTGTCGTCCGTTGTCATCGAAGGGATAAGATTTTCGCGCGGGCTAGAGGGAACCCAACCAATGAGCTTTGTTTGGGCCTCGTTGGGGCGCCGATGAATTGATCTTAACTGGAAAGTCAGCCCAATTGTAATAAACACTTAAGACCTGGCCCATTTCATATTGGACCTCTTTCGAGGGAGTTAGAGATACATTAGATACACAATCCCGCATGCCCAAAGTGATTCAAAAAAAAAAAAATTGGGCCTGATTGAGATTGATTGCTATCTATATAAAAGTTCTGGACAAAAGAAAGAAGGGTTTTTCAGATATTTACCCTCTAAATTATAGATATTTTCAAACGTTCCCTCCACAACTCTATTAAGTCTAGATTTACCCCTCAAATTATGTTATTCACTCAAATCTACCCTCTCTTTAAACGGGGTTAGAGTTTTACAGTTGTTGTATTTAAGTTGCTATTCTAACCCTGAAAATTAGCATGGGGGAGAATCTCTTACATTGTATGAGTTGTTTACCCCCTTTTCTTCATCAAAATCTATCTTTTTATTTTTCTTGCGTCCAAAGCTAATCTCTATAGAATCCATGTCAATTGAACATTCGAACACCCTCGTTGCTGATAGTCATTGGCATTGTACCTGCTCGCTATGTGACATCAATAGAGCTGTCCAAGCGGGTCAGTCTAGCCCGACCTAGCCTGGATTTCCAGGTTTGGTCCGGGCAAAATGCCTAGCCCGAACTCGGACTCTGGGTGCCCAGCCCGGGTCCAGGTCCAGGCCAGGCTTCAGGCCGGATCAGATTTTCTTTTTTATATACTTTTTAATTTTTTTTGCTAAAAATTAATTAAAATTTAAATTAATCTTATTACATCTATATAAGTATGTGTTAGTATATACTTACATATTAGTAAATAGTTATATATTATATGTAAGTATATATAAGTATATATTGATGATAATATATACTTAAAATATATATATAAATATGCATTAATAGTCATATCATACTANGGTCCAGGCCCGAGGCCCCTTTGTACAGCCCGACATCAAATCTTTTTATTTTGTAGAAAATTAATTTTGAGATTGGTTTTGGCTATCAACCATCCAATAGTTCTGGTGTATGTTTGCACTTGATGCTTTGATTTCTTCTTTGTCGCCAGTTCTAGCGTGCTGATTTAAGAATGAGAGGGTTAGTGATTAATTGGTATAATTTTAATTAATTAATCAAGATAAAAATTGACATTCTTTAAAAGTTTTAATTGTTTTAACGGAATATTCAAAAGGGATGTTCTAAACCTTAAGCCAAAGGGTAAATTGAAGGATGATTACAAATTGAAGGGTAAATTTAGAATTATGATGACTTGGAGGGCAAATTTAAAAAATACATGTAATTTGAGGGGTAGGTATCGAAAAAAATAAGTAAAGAAAAAGGCTAATAATACTATACTATGAGGGTGTCTAGGAAGGCTTATTTTTTAAAGCTTATAATTTTTTAGTGACTTTTGGCTTTTATGATAAAAATGTTAGGTCGAACTTAGTTTATTTAGATGATCTTATTAGCTAGTTTTTTTTTAAAAAAAATTAGATTATACCAGTTTCTTATAATGGGACTTATAAGCTACCTTATTTGATATTTTATTAAATAAATAGAAATAAAAAGGCTAGCTTGAAGGCTAGTTTACCACATAGAAGCTCCTCTAAACACCCTCTATAAACAGAGTAAATGTCTGTTTGGCAAAACCCTCAAAACTAGGGCAAAGTTGATCCTGGCTAAGTTTTTAAGGTAAACTGGTCTTTTTCTAGCCAACTGAGAAGTTGTTCAAAAAACAACTAGTTTTAAACCTCTTTTTTGGCCTAAAAGAAACTGAGCCAAAATTGGCCTAGTTTTGCCAAACTAGAAATAAACCAAAAACTGGGCTGAGACGGGTTCAGTTCTGACCTAGTTTTAAGGATTTGCCAAACACATCCTAAAGTTTAGATAGTGGATTGCATAGCAACATTATTTGTAGAGTTATGCTAGGCTATTATTAATAGTATTTACTATCCAAATGCTATTAATCCAATTTTAAAATTTAAAGTTTGAAAAAATCGACATTCGCGATCGACTATATATAAGCTATTTAGAAACATAATCTCAAAGAATTAAGATATATTTTGAGACATTATCCAGGGTAAAAAAATTAAGCAATTCATGAAAATTCTGAAACGCTAATTTGACGACATAAGATACATGGGTTAATAACATCAAAATCCTTTAGGTACCGTTTGACAAATGTTAAGTGATGGGTTAAGGAGACTTAACTCTTTCCTTAACCCGCCAAACACAACAAATCTATATAAGGGTTAACCCTCTATAATTTACTAAATATAAAAAATATAAAAGAGTTAAGCTAACCCCTTTAGAAGGATTAAAATGAGTTAAACCCTCAAAATGAGGGGTTTATTAATACTCCTATTTAAAAGGATTAAGAATACTTAACCCTTCTAAAAGTTAACCCTTCTGGCCCCGTTTGGCAAAGGGTTAATGAAGAGAGGTTAAAGAGAAGGATTAATGTACTTAGCCCATTTGATAATCCGAAGGACTAAATTATTAACCCGTTAAATAAGTTTTATTTTAACCCTTATGATTAGTTTTAGTGTTTGGGAATAACAATGATTTTGACTATTTTCTTTATAATTAGAAGGGTTAACTCTTATTCCATCTAAATAGGAGTATTAATAAACCCTTCATTTTGAGGGGTTAACTCATTTTAACCCCTCTCGAGGGGTTAACTTAACCCTTTTATATTTTTTATGTTTGGCAAATTATGGAGTGTTAACTCACTTTAACCCTTATATAGATTTGTTGTGTTTGGCAGGTTAAGAAGGGGTTAAGTCTCCTTAACCCCTTACTTAACCCTTTGTCAAACGGTACCCTAATTATAAAGAAAACAATCAAAATTATTGTTATTCCCAAACACTAAAACTGATCACAATGGCTAAAATAAAACTTATTTAACGGGTTAATAATTTAGTCCTTCAGATTATCGAATGAGCTAAGTACATTAATCCTTCTATTTAACCCATTTTCCTTAACCCTTTGCCAAACGGGACCTTAAATTTTTATTTCTAGATAATATTCAAGATACTATTCACATGTTAGGTACTATTAATTGTAGTCTAACTCGATTAATGTTTGTACATCATTTATCATTTTAATCAAATTGTAAACATCTAGAAATATGGTCCACTACACGAACTGTCAGGCGAAGAGAAAAATAATGTAATTTTTATACATTATCTTCTTTTGCTTTTATCATATGTATGTTTCTTTGGACTTTTCAGTATCACAATAGCTGCTGCAGACTTGAGAGGTCAATTTACATTTCACTGAGTTGCCTCGTCTGGTAAGACTTTTTTTTCTCAATTGTCATCACCATCGCGCCCTTTTCGTGTTCTTATTTTATAAAGCAAAGTAATAATTGCCATGTTTATATCATGATGCATGAGATATACCAAACTCTATTCTCCGTAATAATTTTTTGCTCGTTTGCTGTCACCCGAAATTTTTAAGATACCAGGGACCTCATCTTCTTTGAAGGAGTATTCCTTTAGGAATTTTGGCTCAGAAGTTTTCTGTCCAGGGACCTCATCTTCTTTGAAGGAGTATTCCTTTAGGAATTTTGGCTCAGAAGTTTTCTGTTGCCTTGGAGGTCGTTGTTGCCATTGAGGGCTCAGAAGTTTTCTGTTGCCTTGGAGGTCGTTGTTGCCATTGAGGCGTTTGTTGCTTTGGAGCTTGTTGCTGCGGCTGCTGCCGGGGTTGTAATTCAAATGTCTAATTTGCGTCTACCGCATTCGCCGGTCCTTTCCCCTTACCACGGGGGGTAAAGTTCTGTTTTTGGATATTATTTGCTGGTTGTCCCCTTTTAGCTTTCTTCCTTTTGAGGAAGCGCTCAGCCTGCTCTCCTCGCACCTTTAATTCCTTCCATGTCTTGGATGGTGCAGTGCCCATAGCTTCTAGTACGTCTAAGGAAAGGTTGTTGTGGCATGTTTGGAGGATGAATTCCTCCGTGACAGGGTCTCGACAGTTCATTGCCTTGTTCCGGAAGCGCTTAACAAAGTTCTCAACGAACTCTCCATCTTTCTGCTTCTCTTCAAAGAGTGTTCCGATCGATACTTCGGTATCATCGTCGAAGAAATTAGCAAGAAACATGCTTTCCATATCACCCCTTTTATTGATACTTCCCGGTTTAAGCCGACGGTACCAATCAAAGGCAGTCGCACAAAGGGTCCCTACGAACGATCGTACCATCAGAGGTTCATTGCCCGAAATGATCCCCAGGTGGGACTTGAAATAAATCAAGTGTTGGGTAGGGGAACCCCTCCCATCGAACGGCGTGAAGTTAATCAAACTGAACTTCAGTGGGTATAAAATGGAGTCTCATTCTCTCGGGTAGGGACACGGAATGCCAGTCTTTTTTACCTCTTGAGCAGTCATCAAAGCATTAATTTTTCTTTCGAAGTCTTTCATCTTAAGGTCTTCGCCTACCTCTCTCTCCTGGCGACTTTGGGTATGGATATTGGTACAACCCCTAGCGTTAAGGATAGCTTCGGTATTTTGATTCTCAGGTGGAACCTCGATATTGATATTTTCCTCTACTTCCGAGTCGCTATCTATCTGATTAGTAGTCGGGCGACGACTAGATTCTCCGTGCTGATTTGTCAACTGCTGGAGTTGTTGGGCATGTAAATCTTTAACCCGTTGTATAGCCATCTCCATTTCGATTTTAAAATCCTCTTTCTGCTTTGCCAAAGCTTCTTGAAGAAGTTGAGCCATCTGTTCAGCAGTGATCATGAATGACTCTCGAGTCTGTCCCGTACTGGACACAGTGGCATCTGAAGCGATCGCAGAGTTAGCGTCTGACATTTCATCATCTGAGGACTGTCCTCTCTGAATTCTCCTATAATTCCTAGGCCTGATAGCCCCGGTTTGTAACCGAGTCAATCGTTGGGATACTTATGGGAAAGGTTCAGGACTGAAGCGTCTCGTGGAT